TTAAACTCCGAACCTAATGAAATGGATACATATTAAATTAAAATTTGTGAATGTTTTAAATCATTGCCCAATTTCTTGACTATATCCATCATTTCCTTATATTAATATTTAATTGATAGCAAAGCTGGATTTTTGTCCTTAATTTCAAGGAGATTCGCCCTTTTTGTGCTCCAAATCTAATGAACGTGTAAGTAAATCATATGTGATTCCGTGACGCACTGATCATCTCGTTAGAATATTAATAGAACAGTTGGTTGACCCTTTTTGTCCTCCGAATTTCAATCAATCATTAAGTACATACCGAGAGGGGATTCTCCCCTTTATGCTCCGAAACTGATAGTGTTATACTCAAAATGGCAGAAGCAAATTAACGTGATCTAATCCAATCTGATGTGAAATAACTGCGCTTCCTTGTTTTTTTTGAAATTTAAAAAAAGTGAGATATCGTGCAGAAACTAATTGAGCCATTTTGGGAAATTGCGTTACTTTTTCAGACTGGTCGAAGGCGAAGATATCCAAGATAATGTCCTGTAAATTTTCCAGGGTCTAAAAATGTTTGGTAGATAACCACTAAATGTTCAACATTTCATCTGGGATCTCCGTCTCGTATCTCAATGCCCATTCAAGAATTGTGTAGGTGGAACTATGTTTTGGAGCCCTTTGGATTCATCACATTTAACTCAAAAACCCGTCATGTTGCTTATTACTGCAGCAAGATTACGCGGCGGATAATTGAGAAATATTTTACTAATGGTGTTATTATAATGTTCATAATAATACCTACCATTGAATAATATTCAATGATAATATACTAAAGTTTTATTGTGAAAATGTTTATAGCATTAAATAAAAACCGTCAAATTTACGCAATACCAGTTTAAAATCAGACACTAAAAAGGATTCGACCATTTTTGATTATAAATGTAAAGTAGTGCAGTAGGTAGTATCTCTAATTACGCACCGTTTTCACTTAAAATTAAATAAATTAAACTAAACTAATTTAAATAATTATAGTTTCCAATTAGACTAGTTATTGTTTATTAATCTAGTATTCGTTAACGTATTGTTGTACCAGGCTTCAGTGTGCTAATTTCCAAGTTGGTTTCATTGGAGGATTCCGTTTCGTTAACATCGGAACCTCCAAAAAGCCCCAGCCAGTTTCCAAAGAAAGCAAGACCCTGCTCTGCCGTCTCATTTACAACGGATATTAGTTCCTCTTCATTAATTTCTTCGGCATCGGTTCTGAAATAAGTCATCAGTGACATGGAACGTTATCGATTACGTCTAACTTAAAAAAAGAAGCCAAGAAGCAATAATATTCTAAGTCATGCACAATTTAAGATTATTACCCTGTTCCATTCTTATTGGAATTTTGATTAGACAAAAATGGAGTTATATCCGACTGTACAGTAGGGTCTTGTTTCATTCCATCGGGTCCAATAATAAAGCACCCTATCTTAAACTTCGTTTGTACATCTCCCAGTAATGTGGGTTCCAATTGCAAGCACCCTTGTAAACCGTCTTGAACAGGAATTAAATTGGAAAAACGGGCGCATACTTTTATTAAATCGACTAAAACTGAAATACACGCCGGTTCCGGATTTGGCCCTTTTACTAGTTGACTGTGCAGTACGCTTTCCCCATACGAAACGTTAACAGCCATTCCCTTTTCCTGAGATATGTACTTCATGTACACGCATCCTAAAATAATAAATTTTTTTATAGTCAAGAAATAATGCTGTTACCGAATAAGTTAACAGATACCGGGTCCTCCGAAATCAAAGTAAGTGATGTTGAAATCCACGCAACACATGCACGATGGACCTCCATTACACACGCAACTCCTTACTTCGGTTACATTACTCGAACTTTCGTCTCTTTTTTCCACTTCGCTTCCGTCTTCCAAGTCCCACGTTAGTAAATCTGAAAATGAACATTTATCTCAAATTTAATCGTCCGATAATTCAAACAAATTTAGTCCTTGTAAACTTTATGAAAACCGCAGAAAGATTCATGGGAAATGCGTACGACTTTTCTAAAGCGACGCAATTGCGCACATTTCTATTCAAAAATGTCATTATAGAAACTCTTTTGTAACGTGGCTGCCTAAGATATTGAGAGATTTAGGGGCAATTCATAGGAGGGTGCCTAAACATGCAAGTTTCTGACATTTGGTCGAAAAGAGGACCGTTACGTCTCGGGGTGGTAACACCGTCAGAAATTTAAATCGTATGGGGTGGCGTAACCTATAATTTCAAATGTACTAATATTAATCACTTTCTCACTGAATGAGAAGATTACGTTATTGTGTAGAGACGAAAATTGGAATCGTTTGTTTATAATTCGTTTTAAGTAAAGTAATCCATAATCATAAAAACAAAATTTTGCATCTCTTGTTAATGTTTATTGAACAAAAGTATCTTCTGTTATAAGCCCAGCTTTTGCTGTTTGCGCAAAAGAATAAACCCCGTTGATTTCTGGACACAATAAATAACGAATTACATGAAAAGAAATCTGAGTAGTTTTTCAGCAGTTCAGTCCTATGAGCAAACAATTGAATAATAGCTGCACTGGTAAACATTTTGAGCCATTTGGTATTAGAAATGGTAATTTAAAATAATAGAAGTAAAATTTCACTTACCCATTATATTAGGAGTATTTTCACGAGCAAATACGTAAGATGTAAATAAAATTACATTTGCAAAAATGAACTTGAACTGCATTCTGAATGCAATCTTTTGAGATGGTCAGTGACAATGACGAAGTAGACGGAACGGTTCTGGGTTGAAGCATCTTATGCACGACCATCATCGACGGTTCTCGGTCCTTGGCCCCCAACGAGGTCACTGTGTCAATTACCCAAACCCACTTGGTGTAGTGTTAATGTGAACCAGTCAACGTAAGCTATATTTATGAAAACGAAATTATGCTTCTACGGAACTTCCTTTTCCTGGACATGTACGTTCCTAGACTTGCATTCTAAGCCACCGACATCCTACTTTCTTTTTCTAGAGTATTTTTATGTATGCATTGTATGTTTAACCTACAATAGAACTCAAAATATTGAATTACATAAGTATATCGGACAATAAGGCATAGCTTTTATAATAAAAATTCCGATTCTCAATTAATGGAGCCTTTGTAAATTGATTTATTGATCGTAAAAAATAAACATCTTTAAAAAAATCGAAAATGTTATGTAGATGCTAAGCCAAGCTGGGCAATGAGTGGCAGTTTTGGAGTTCTGGTGAACGTCGAAGGATCCTTTCCAAAAATTCAAGGAGGAAAACGTACTCGTTGGTTTAGTGGCATTTGCTGTGCATCAAAAGCGATTTTGTAAAAAATACTCCTGTTTCTGATTAAAAAGCTAATTAGTCTTAGTATTTATTGATTATAATATAATCTCTAATTAACCGCATATTAACTATTAAATTGATAGAATCTAAAAAAATTCATAGGCGATTGTAACTCAACCCTTTAAAGAGCAAATCGATCTGAGACAATTTTTTTTTCGGGCCTCAAAAAAAGGCAGTGTATAACCTTCCTTTTTTACCAAAAATCGACTACACCAACATTTCTCGGGGTAACACTTTTTCTTATTAATTTTGGTGCGTAGAATCCAAAACAATTCGTACTTTTTCGATCAGACTTCTCAATCAAAAGTTATAGACTAGAAACCAATTTCGAAAGAAAATTCAAAGCGCTGTAACTTTTGAACTAGTAGCCCAATCTTGGAACTGTTTGAAATTATGGATTCTACAGGCCACATTCTATAAGAAAATTTTTTTTCCGGGTCGATGTGAGACAATTTTTTTCTCGGAGATCAAAAAAAGGCAGTGTATAACCTTCCTTTTTTACCAAAAATCGACTGCACCAAAATTTCTCGGGAAAACACTTTTTCTTATTAATTTTGGTGCGTAGAATCCCAAAACAATTCGTACTTTTTCGATCAGACTTCTCAATCAAAAGTTATAGACTAGAAACCAATTTCGAAAGAAAATTCAAAGGCTGTAACTTTTGAACTAGTAGCCCAATCTTGGAACTGTTTGAAATTATGGATTCTACAGGCCACATTCTATAAGAAAATTTTTTTTCCGCGTCGATCTGACACAATTTTTTCTTCGTCCCTCAAAGAAAGCAGGTTATAACCTTCCTTTTTTACCAAAAATCGACTGCACCAAAATTTCTCGGGAAACACTTTTTCTTATTAATTTTGGTGCGTAGAATCCAAACCAATTCGTACTTTTTCGATCAGACTTCTCAATCAAAAGTTATAGACTAGAAACCAATTTCGAAGAAAATTCAAAGGGCTGTAACTTTTGAACTAGTAGCCCAATCTTGGAACTGTTTGAAATTATGGATTCTACAGGCCACATTCTATAAGAAAAATTTTTTTCCGGGTCGATCTGAGACAATTTTTTTTTCGGGCTCAAAAAAAGGCAGTGTATAACCTTCCTTTTTTACCAAAAATCGACTGCACCAAAATTCCTCGGGAAAACACTTTTTCTTATTAATTTTGGTGCGTAGAATCCAAAACAATTCGTACTTTTTCGATCAGACTTCTCAATCAAAAGTTATAGACTAGAAACCAATTTCGAAAGAAAATTCAAAGGGCTGTAACTTTTGAACTAGTAGCCCAATCTTGGAACTGTTTGAAATTATGGATTCTACAGGCCACATTCTATAAGAAAATTTTTTTTCCGGGTCGATCTGAGACAATTTTTTTTTCGGGCCTCAAAAAAAGGCAGTGTATAACCTTCCTTTTTTACCAAAAATCGACTACACCAAAATTTCTCGGGAAAACATTTTTTCTTATTAATTTTGGTGCGTAGAATCCAAAACAATTCGTACTTTTTCGATCAGACTTCTCAATCAAAAGTTATAGACTAGAAAAGAAACCAATTTCGAAAAAAAATTCAAAGGGCTGTAACTTTTGAACTAGTAGCCCAATCTTGGAACTGTTTTAAATTATGGATTCTACAGGCCACATTCTATAAAAAAAATGTTGTCCGGGTCGATCTGAGACAATTTTTTTTTCGGGACTCAAAAAAAGACAGTGTATAACCTTCCTTTTTTTTTTTACAAAAATCGACTACACCAAAATTTCTATCATGTGCACGACGTACGATCGCTTTGAAAACTGGTACACGTATTCTTAAGGATATAACTGGTATAAGAAAGGTCCTGGTAGGTACCTCCTATATAATAATATAATAATAATAATAATAATACGCTTTTACTCCCCTTAAATTTGTATATAACAATAAAAATATAAAAAAAGCTAACCCCATACTACTTGATTTTTTAAGTAGTATTAAGCCTTTTATCTAGTATACTATTTTAAATTTTTAAAGTGTTTGAGTGACAAGTATTTGAATACCTTTTACTGTATTCGAATACTTTTCAAAGTATTCGAATACTTTTGAAAGTATTCGAATACATTTGAAAGTATTCGAATACATTTGAAAGTATTCGAATACTTTTGAAAGTATTCGAATACTTTTGAAAGTATTTGAATACATTCTAAAGTATTTGAATACTTATTTCTTTAAGTATTTGAATACTTTTCAATGTATCTGTATCTAGTATTCGCTTGTGCTGGACGTAAAAGTATTTAGTATTCAAATACCTTTGATTGATTTGTGTAAAGTATTTACTATTTAGTATTCAAATACTTTTTGAAAGTATTCTGCCCAGCTCTGGTCGCTTTCAAAGTAGTAACCATCAATTTTACTTTTACCAAATTTCAAAGGGATCGCTTCTAAACAAAGTTATCGTTCACACGGACAGATAGATGAACAGACAGACAAAGGAACAGACGGACAGACTAACAGACAGACGACAGACTGCAATACAACATATAAACGATTTCTAGGATCGTTAATAAACGGCAAAAGTGTAAAATTATAGAACATGTAAAAAATGTTTTTTTTTTACAATAACGAGAAGTAGTGTCCAGGCGGACCGACGGACGGACGGATGGACAGACGGACGGACAGACGGACGGACAAACTGGCGGACAAAGTGACCACAATAGCGCATTTTTTATTTTTGTGGAAATGCACTAAAAAGTACCACACTTTAATTTTTGGGTTTTGGCAATGTGACAATTTATTGTCACTAATTATTTTGTTTTCAATATAATTTTTAAGTGTTATGAGCAATAAACAAAAGCTCATATTCGGACCACTTCCTCTACATTTCCTCTAACGCGCCATTAGAAAATGCTGATGATACAATAATAACATTCGAAGGGGAGATTTAATTTCTATATTATATAAACATAGATTAGAATTTTTTAAAGGCTCTCTTTGGGTGAATACTAAAAAAACGTTAGTCTTTTTTGGGAGTGTTGAAATTTTCGCATAATTCTAATTTTTTTTAATATTTATGTCTCAAAAAAATGGCCATGTAAGGCCATAAGCATTTCGTTTTTTAGTGCATTTTCACAAAGAAAATGCACTATTGTGGCCATTTTGTCCGTCCGTCTGTCCGTCCGACCCTTCGTCTGGACGCTACTTTATCTTAAGAGCTATTGTTATACTTTTTTCGCTATTTTGTTCGTTATGGTGTCGAGGCTTACACCAAGGAAGGCATTTTTCCTACGTTTATTGCTTAAAAAAGTTATGGTAAAGATCTATGTTTTTCATGTACCATCATTTTACACTTTTGCCGGTTATTAACTATCCTCGAGATCGTTTACAATGATGTATTGCTGCCTGCCCGTCTGTCTGTCCGTCTGTATGTCCGTGTGCAGTTGTGCGTTGTCCAACATAACTTTTGTATTTACGCAATCCAGTTTTCCGTTGTTAAGATATTTAAAAGAAATTTTATATGTAGGTAGGAACCTCAAATAAACGGGAAACTAATGTCGAATCAAAAAATTTCTTTTGCGCATGCGCAATTCGATCCGACTAAAAACACGCAAAACAATAATTGTTGCGCATGCCCAGACCCATATTCGTTAGGTATTTGTGAACCAATTCTTCTAAAATCTTAGGATAGGATTCTTTTTACAAACTGACATTGAAGTAGCAGGTCAAAAATGGATTGCACATATTATGCAACTCTAACTTTCTTAGTTGTGGTCGGAGTTCGACGAAATTTTAATAAAAGTTGCATCTTACAAATGAGAAATGAATGCAAGTGGAAATGGGTTTTTTGTAAATCGTTTACGATTACTTTTTTAAGTTGTTTTGCTTTGTATTTAATAGTTTTCTAGTCCTTGTCTGAGTTAAGGTCCATTGCTTTGGCCGTGCCCTGTCCTCTTCAGAAGCTGTACTGCTTATCATTTTTTTCAAATAAATAATCCGCTCGTATAGAATTATTAGTGTAGTACTGCGGGGCTACTAATGGATGGGCTTCCTTAAAAAGTCAGAAACTGTTCACAAGTCAGTAAGTTGGTATCTGTCTCAAAATGTTTTGCTGCACACGCGTTCGAAATAATACAATAAGATAAAAATGGCGGCCTAAAAAGCCAAAGCCGCGTTGGACTAAATGTAATTGTACTTCTTTCGTAAAGTACTAATCCTTTTACTCCCATAAATTTATAATTGAGACAAACTAAAGTTTAGTTTCCCTTAAGTAGACCATTCATAAAATATGAGAGAGTAGTGGGTTTCGTATTTCTAACTTGAAGATCTAATAGAGTCGAAGAGAATTTGGAAAGTTAAAAGTTATGGATAAAGGATTTATATGATCATGTTTAAACAACGAGTTTGAATAAATCAACGGGGGGCGTTGGTGAAAGCGCTTTTTAATTTCTTCAAATTGGGGTTAAACGCACGCATACAGTACGGAGGTAGGTATTTTTGTCGCGAGTTTGAGAAAATCGTAAATGGTAATGATGACGTAAATCTCATTTAAGGTAAGTTATTAAAAATAAGTCGAAAACGAATTTGAAATACATTTAGTTCACGTTTGCATCGTTCCCGCTGACCTAGCCATAACCATACTGACCGACATTCTGGCCCCTCTTCGGGCAACGAAAACTGAAGAAGGGGCGAAGACCGCTTTATGCTGAATTACACAGGCAATCATTAAGTTACTGGTAGTACATAAATCATCGTACTTCAATTTGTAGTTGTTTTTATAACAGAGGTGAGTACGTATTTTGGTATATTTCAATTTGTATCAGGAGAGAATACTGCAAGTGGATAATTGGGAAATAGTCTCTTGTATATTTTCTCAAATAAGTGTTTTGATTACAAGGGTCAAAATACTTACACTGCACAAGGTAGCGTGCCGGGAAACCGTAATAGTGACAATTAATAACAGTATAACACATGCGATTGTATCAGGGGGACTTTTTTGCAACAGGACACTTAGATTAAATGTTTTTGACATCTTGATTTAACTTGGTAATTTAAAAGCGTGCGCAAATTGTACAACGCATTACATTATTTAGGGGAGGCTCAAGTCCCGATTGTTTCTTGATTTATTAGGACAGCCAACTTTAATATTTTCCTATTTTACAGGATTTAATCCGAATCAACATGCGATTGTCGCTCATCTTTGAGTTGCTATTAATCTTTGTGTTATTAGCATTCGCGGCATCCAGAGTAATTGGTGAGCATAACGCCACATTTCAGTTCCGCACTACTTAGGACATTGTAAATATGTTAACAGTATGTAAAAATAGGGATGAATTACAAATCGTTGAATAAACATAAATTGAGTGTGTACTCGTTTCGCAGATTCTAAAGGATTACCAAACAACCGGAGATACTCGATACGCAAATCAAGAAGGGTTAACCACAAGGTACGACAGGATGTCAGCAACTACTGCAACTGTTCAACTAAGCTCTGCAATTGCTGTCGAGATTTTAACTTCCCCGTTGTTTCCGTACGGGGACCGGGTTGCGCAACCCTTCAGTACCTGCAGGGAGATCGACTCGCCGTTTCGTTGAGCTTTGGAGAACGTGTACTTTCTAATACGACGATATCAGGTAATAATAATATTCGACTATACCACCGTTAAATACGCACTGTTTTAGGCAGGAAACCAAAACCGATATGCATGCAGTTGCCGGGTGGAGTTTCAAAATTCTGCGGTCGAGTTTATGGCATCACTCGTGAAGGTGAAGATTTTAAAGCGTGCCTGGGACTTGAACTTAGAGCGTTACAAGACATAGAAGCGTCACTACGCGTGTCTTGCTTCCGCTTTGGACCTAAAGGACTAAAAGTAGAACCGGCTCAACAACTTCCAGTGGTAAATATCCAGAATAACAAAGATAAAGATGAAGATGATGACGACGACGACGATGACGACGACGATGAATACGATTTTGACGATGACGACGATGAATATGACAATGACGTTGACGCAGTCGATTACACAGGATTTAGCGTATTCGACGACGACTTCGTTGGTGATTTATTTGGCGTGGAAACAGAATCCGAAAGTAACAAAGTGAAAAAACCAACTCCTGTCAAAAAGGTTCCGGTGGCGCCCACAAAAGCTCCTTTAAAATCTCGTCCAAGTAAGCCGTTGATTAAAAAGTCTACAGTTAAACCACTGGTAAAAGCAACGACTGCCAAACCAGTGACTAAAGTTACATTTACACCAACAGTAACATCCACTGGTAAACCAGTGACCGATAAGCATGCGCAAGGTACTCCTGAAAATGTTGCCGAAAAACTACCAACAGTTTCACAGCAACCGACAGTCACTACCGCCGCTGTTTTGCTACAAAATCTTTCCGATATATCGAGCGCAAAACCAGCATCAGTGGAATTAACAACGGTCAGTGCGGTTTCGTCAGAAACAAGTGCCATGGAAGTAACAACTTTCAGAGCGGAAACGTCGAGTACACCACCGCAAGAAGATGAGGAAGATAACAGTACGGAAGTTGTGGAAAACTTAATTATAAAGGATGGGGAAGATGATGCAGATGACGACGATGAAGATGATGATCCCATATCCGCGGCAGTTGAAGACGTTTTAGGCGAAGGTTCTGACAGTTCAGTAAAGAACAAAACTGTTACCGCCGAGGGAAACTCGGAAAAGGTTGTGAAGCCGCAACATTCGGAGGATGTGGTTGATGAGATAGTCGATGGGATGGTGGACACGTTAACTGGCGAAGATTCCGAAAAGGTACCCAAGAAAGACCAGATATCGTCTGAAAACAAGAATAAACGCGAAAAGGATGACGATGACGAATATGACGACGATGAGGAGGATGACGATGACAGATAAGAGCGTACCAAAGAACAAAAAAACGAATCGCGCACATTATCGGTTGGTGCTATATTTAGTTAAGTTATTTATTATTATTTATTGAAGCTTTTGTAATGTACATACGTTGAGTGTAATTTAGTGTTGAATTAGTTTCGTTTTTAATAAAACAACTTTGTTATAACCGCAATTCTTAGAAACGGCAATAGCGAAATGTGGTCCGCTAACGGTACTTTTATGCGTAACATGTTGAAGGAAGCGCAGAGACAGTTAGGTTCTTAACATGAAAGAGACAATTTTGATGCACTTTTTCCTTCTGTTTTATTGGAACGGAATATCGCATGCAGCCGGTAATGTTTGTTGATACAGTTTAAGTGATCGCCTACAACTTCTTTCTGTTTACAGAAGCAGCAAATTCGACAAGTTTAAAACCAAATTCTGTTAAAAATTCAACGGACGTTGTACCTCAAGAGGCCATTACCACCAGCACGCAACCTCCGCTGCTTCAAGGAGTCAGATTGCCATGTTCGTGCGCGGGGGGTGATTGTGGTTGTTGCACCGGTCCCATTTTAGATAGATTTAATCAAAAGGCTTGTGTAAATATTACGTACGAACCAGAGGAATTCGCATTTACTGCGGCGTTAAGGTTGAACGGAAGAGTTTTATACAAGAATACCATATCGGGTAAGTCGTCACTTTCTTGGTGCGAGTGTTGCAGAATATAGGGGAAAATTTAAACGATTTGTAAAGTATTTACGAATGCCATGGCACCATTTTCGATACATTAAATTTTCTATGATAGAACAAATTCGAGAAAACCCAAGTTATGACTTATCGAATGATGCGTGTATCACTATTGTCGCACTACTTGGATACCAAAAAACTAGTATTTTGTATTTCGAGACCTAATTGAACCAAATTAAACATGATACGAGGATACGCAATTTAGCATAAATCAGTTATTGCTGCTAACTTGTGGCATGAACATTTTTGGATTGAAAAATGTACGAATGGAAGTGGAAAACTTCTAATTTTCAGTAATTTTGTACTAATGTGGTTAGCTACCCTCAATCCAATCAAAGCTGGCGTAGTAAGGGAAGAGTTGGAGAGGACGTGCGTGGAATAACATCTAATTTCGGCTCCATTAACTTGGCAACACCATTTTAGGTCGTCGACAAAGAAATATAGCACCAGCTAGAGTCACTTTAAGCTTTGTAGCTCATTGTTACTTTAAGGGGTGTCTTGTGAACGCTAGCACTACAATTGTGCCTTTTCCGTCCAGAAACAGCTACCGCCACTCCAAAAAATGGGAACAGGGGAATTTTTAGCAACACTATTTTGTTTTTTTTTATGTAAAGTTATTATTTTGTGTTTTGCTGACCTAGCGCAGGCTGGCACTACTGCAGTTACGCCGATTAAACTATTATATTTATGTTTACAGTGTCACTTTTTGGCACTAAATGTGTTTCAGGCTGTCATTCACTTTAGGTATTACCATTGCAACTTCATTTTTACCAAGTTTTGTTAAACACTTATCATAAAATTTTGCTTGTTTGAAAAAAATTACACTTTTATAGAAAATGAGGAGGCATATAAGGCCTTGACCAAAATGTAATCAGCCTTTTTTAAAAAAAATAGATTTCTTGATGAATACTATTCAAAGTACTCTCCTTCTGCGTCTATTCACCTTTGCGTACGTAGGCCCTCGCTTTTGGAAATGCTGTTAAGGCACCTCGTCGTGATTTTTTAAATGTTGTCCTAAAGTTGTCTCCATCCTAACCACGACAAGGCTCGGAGGTTGGTTCACTGAAAATGCTCGTGGGAATCTGAACTGGGAAGTTTCGGAATAAACCCAGTATCGCGAAACCCCCAATGAAATTTAAAAAAAATGTAGCCCCACGTACCAACAGTAAATCGATACGATCTCTTACGCAGTATCATAAACAACAATTTCTTCACATAGTTTTCAACGACTGTCCTCTTTTGCACCTACGCCAACCTGCGGGGTAAAGGAGGACGCGCTCTTATTTGGCAAAAATACGTTTTTGGCACAAAGAGGGATAGATCAAGACGACCACCAAAAAGGAAAAAATAATAAAGAATGCTTTATTAAACAAGACAACCAAATATTGGGACGTAAATCTCGGAAATTATCGAGGATTTAAACAACTTCTAAACCGCATACCTCGCCTACCCATTGTTTCTGATTCTTGGCCACCTCGTTTATACAACCGACAAAGCGTTTGTATTCAGGTACATTCAGTCAATATAAAATATAAAGCTAGTATTTTTACAAAGATCCGATTTTCGTATTTTTGTATACGAACCATATTCTTCATTTTCCACTAGTTTATAACTAAACCTCAAGGTCTTTTAAGCGGTGCAAAAAAAGGCTCTATTAAATGCGAACCATACACAAATTTATTGCCACTATGGTTTTAATGCTCTATATTGATTGCTTACTAAATTGCTAGTGTGGAAATAAATGCTTAATTGATAACTTGTTAATCAAATAGGAATTGTTGGGGTTCAGGCTATAGCAAGAGGAAATTTATTTTAATGCTAAACCTCTCTGTATATTAATTGCATGCTAAATTTCAACTTTGAAATTAATTGTTTCATTTATAAGTGTAATCATAGCAACAATGAATTTATTTTGTGCAATTTACTTATGTAAAGCCCCCCCCCCCTCCAATTAATTGGAAACTTGTAGTTTTTTACGCAAATAGTGCAGAACATGTTATCAATAATTTTGAAGAAAATTGTACAATCCACGCTTGTAATTTATTTAAATACATTTTACCCATTTGGGTGTTTTTTTTGCACCCTAAACTTCAAGAAAGGAATTCTGTTAAATGGACGGAACAATAAATTCCACACCACAGCCATAAATAAGCACTTGATTGTGTTAATTAGCTTGGAACTGGTCGGGGGGGGGGCACCCACGCGTGAGATACATATCTTAAATTTACTTCCACTATGAGCATTACTTACTAAATTGCAAGTGTTGAATTAATTTTTAATTAATGGAAAACAAAAAAGAAAACAAAAATATCAGTAAACCACAATAGCATTTTAGTTTCTACAGCAAAGCTGCCATCATCAGCGAACAACTCATGGAAATAATAGAAACCTAATATGGCTCTATTTATATGGTTTATTAGTGTTTTTGTTTTACTTTAACAGTCACAAGAATTTCAGTGTTTCTCAGAACCATCGAGAGCTACAGCGGTGTACGGAGCAACCCCCTGATGTTAGATATGAAATATTTATAAGACTACTAGGATTCTACTAAAGATCCCTGGTTCGAATCCGGATCAATGTATAGTTGGTGGGGTTGGTAAAGGAGCCTTCGCTGAAACCCCGTGCATTTAAAAATCAAGGGATAAACCTTGGTTTTAACATAATTTTTCGGAAATGAGGATGTTCCATACCCTCCAGACCCCCCGGTTCTAGGGTCTCTGGGCTATGGAGTATGGAGATCCTTCTCCAAGAACTGTCATGGGCCCTGAAGTCCTAAATGGTTTGTAAAAGAAGGCCTCACCGGGGGGTTTGGAATACCCCCGAGTAAAGGATGACAGTTCCGTATACCCCCCGACCCCCCGGTTCTATGGTATGGGGAAGAGGATTTTATAATCCGTCTCCAATAACTGTCATGAGAACTGAAGGCCTAGATGGTTTGTAAAAGAAAGCGTTACTGGGGGGTCTGGAGAGGTATAGTAAACGACGACAGTTCTATTGCTATTTCCAGAACACCACCAGGAGAGTGCTGAGTAGGGAATGCAATACCGGGATCGCGGGATCCCGAAATACCGGAATCCCGCAACATTTTTGCGGGATTAATCCCGCACATAAATGGTGCGGGATCCCGCGGGATTTGCGGGACTGAGGAATTTGTCGACCAAGGGGACGACTCTATTTACTGTGTTAATAAAATGCGTAACGGAAAAGTTATTTCTAAAATAATTGCTAAAAATGTACTATGATTTTTGAGGCACTTTAGAAGTTCACCTTTTTTGTGCTTTACAAATTACAGGTGAGGTTTTTTTGAGTTCTAAGTTAGGCTGAAAGTCCTTTTTTGTTGAATATTGTGCTAATTATCGATTTATTTTAATACAGATGTTAACCGCACAAAATTGCTTATTACTTATTTAAAATTTTGCGGGATCCTGAAAATACCGGGATCCCGCGGGATTAGCATCTAATGATCCCGCAAATACCGGGATTGAGATTTTGCTGCGGGATTGCATTCCCTAGTGCTGAGGTTTTAACATCTAATTTTTCGGAAATGGTTGTCGATTTTTTCGTTTGCCCCCGGTTCTAGGGTCTCTGGAGTATGGAGATCCTTATCCGAGAACTGTAATAATAATAATAATAATAATAATAATAATTAATTAATAATTAATATAATAATAAAATAAATAAATAAAAATAATAAATTAATAGCTATGTTGGTAAGTATGAATTACATACTATCTCTAGATTTCCAATGTGAGTGTGTGAATATTTATTTTTATTTTTATGTTTCTTTAGAACCCTACATAAATTCACCAGACACAGACACGGACACTAATCGTTACTTGATTTTAATCCGTGCGATTAGTTAACCAGGCTAGACCTGAGTTCTCACAAGAAACACCGACCATAATAATAATAATAATAAAGTTTATTGTGTTTAGGTAATCAACAAGAATTACATACACTCGTCATCAAACATATTTCTAAATTGTAACCTATAGCATCAAACTAAAATCGAAATTTATAAATTCATCCGTGGAGTAAAAGGCTTGAGCTAAAAGAACATTTTTAATACAGCGATTAAATTCTCGGTTGGATAGTGCTTTGACGGTATCAGGTAAACAATTGAAAAACTTTAGTGCCATATATTCAAAACCTTTTTGAGTTTTGTTGAGCCTCAATAAAGGGAGACGAACATTGCTTTTGTTTCGGGTGTCATAATCGTGATAAAAAGTTTGTTGCTGATAATTTAAAATGTTCTTTCTTGCAAATCGCAAACACGATTCAATAAATAAACAGGGTAACGTCAAAATGTTTAGATTAGTAAAAGCACACCTACAGTCCACTCTATAACCAAGCTTCGCAATGATCCTTATTGCGCGACGTTGTATTCTAAATAACTGGCTACTTGCTGACGAATTACCCCACACAATAACTCCATAAGAT